ACCGCGGTCCAGTCCGGTCCGAGCACGGCCCCCGACACCTCCGCCCTTAGCGGCTGCGTAGGGCAAACCGAGCGAGCGTGGGGTCCATCCAGCCACTGCCGTGAGCTCGGAGCCATTGCTAGGTTACCGACACGCAGGTAAATAGAGACTCCAGCCACGTCTCGCACCGGTAACATCGCCTGGCTGCTCCAGACTCTCTGGGTAACATCACCCCTGCTGCTGTGTGGTCTGTCTCTCTGTCCTCCTCTCACGCCACAGCCGAGAGAATCGGCAGAGCCCGCTGACTTTTACTCTGCTCTGACTTTGAAAGGGTCACCCTGCACCATCCCAGGCCGCTCACCCTCAATTATCGCATCGGGCCAAAAAGGTGCCAAGGCGGAATGATTCAGACCTTCTTGGCTTTTCTCTGTGCATTAATATCTCTCATACTATTCATGTAAAGTAAAGCCTATATACTCCTGCCAAATCTCATACTGCCGTCCCGTCAACAGCAGTAAAGAACATTATTGTAAATGTTAGTCATTCAATATTAAACCTTCTGAGCCTATAATAATGATATTTATAGTATATGCATATTAATGGAATTAAACACATCTTAATTTGCCTGTGAGAGGGAGACTTCATCAAGGTAATTAACCCTTAAATACATTAATACAGTAATTTAAAATAATTTGTGTTTATGGTTTTGCCCGGTGCCCCTGCCGGCTAAGCCCCGCCCCCAGCCCCCGCGTCACATGACCAGGCCACTCACCTGTAGGACCTCGCCGCTCCCCGCTGCCGTTTCCAGGCGGGGTGTTTATTATTTATCTGGGGCATTTCCACCGCAGGTTCACCGGTGCGCGCATCCATCCAGGCGGGATACGAGTGCTATCGACTCATGCTCCCTGAGCTCCACACTCTGCACCCCAGCCCCAAAAAAATCCAGGAACGAGCAGCTTTATCCACCTGTTGCAGGGATGCATGTCCAGGGCCCCCCCCTCCCCCCCCACCTCCACCCAAGCAATGCCAGCATCCAAATTGTGCCCGTGCATCAGCATGGCCCCTGCTGCTCCTGATATCCGGGCCCCGCCAGTGGTCGATGGGTCCCTCCCCCAGTGACAGGGACAGAGGGAGCGGGCTGGTCGGCCAGGCAGCCCCAGAACCTGCCGCTTTGAAGGTATCCGCCGGTGTGAGAGAGTCAGAGACGAGCCCTGGTTTATATGTGTTCCTGTGAACCAGGGGGACTGAATAAATAATACAATAGATATTGCTGAGATGCGGTCTCACTGCGCCGTTCATAATTATTTCATTGTCGCTGTAATGAGAGAGAGCACGTCCCGCTACACCTCACATGGTCGGGGACCGGCGCCGAGCCTCTGAGCAGACAGCAGCGGTACCGGAGAGATACCTGCTGAGTGCCCAAACCGCGGCACGGCCAAAAGCGTGCACAGGGTCTGTAATACACACTGAGAGTGCAATACACACTGAGAGTGTGCACAGGGTCTGTAATACACACTGAGAGTGCAATACACACTGAGAGTGTGCACAGGGTCTGTAATACACACTGAGAGTGCAATACACAATGAGAGTGTGCACAGGGTATATTTCTGTAATACACACAGAGTGTAATACACACTGAGAGTGTGCACAGGGTATATTTCTGTAATACACACAGAGTGTAATACACAGGCACTTCATGCTCCCCTCCTTACAAATGCTGCTGATGGGACCCCAGAAGGCTCTTGCTCGCAGGGGGCTCTCGGCGCCCCTCAGGCCCTCTGGGGCTCGACAAACAAGCTGTCTTCCTTAAGCTGTGGTCAGGGGGGACTGGCGGGAGGAGCCCACAGGGACGCAGGGTGCTTTCGGGGCCTAATCCTGTTACCGCCGTGGGAGGGGACTGGGATATCTTACCCCCACCACTACCTCCAGTCCATACCAGCTGGTGTCCCCATGACGACCCCCATGCGACACCAAACACTCCCGTCTCCCAAGTGCCCCCCCCCCACCACATTTCACCATGTCAGCTCCATCACTCTGAGGGCATCCCGACTAGCCAACACTGAGAACTGGGAGCACTGGGAGACTGGGTGAGAAGGAACACAGGGAATCTCATGACGGACTTGGACCACACATTTCGACAGGGACAAAATGATTGCCTATTTTCCCCCTCTTATTTTCTGCCCCCCCCCCATTAACCAGGTCATTTAGAGAAAAGGAGACCCCCCCCCCACCCCACACACACAACCCCCTACCCATTTCAGCTTGTCTGTAACTTAGCAGTAATTGAAATTAAAAAGTAATTAAAAGTAATTAATGAGTAATTAAGGTTAATGTTGGAGAATGGGTGAGTTGACCCTCGTCGGGGATGGGGGCATGGAGGAGCCAGTGGTGTCTCGAAATTAGGCAGGTCGTCCCGCAATAAGGGAAATCAATGCTCCAATGTCACTGGGAGTCTCGTCTGTGCGTTGCAGCTCGATGAATAAACGCAAATGGCCTGTAGCGAATGCATTAATATTTCACCAAATGTAGAAGAAAGGACAAAAAGACTTATACAAACGTGCGCAAAATCGACCCCCCCCCCCAATTCCTCTACTATCGTCATTTGATTGTCACCAAACGCCTCTGTTTCACACACGTTCTCCCAAAGTCTTCAAAACGCCTCAGACCATCAAAACAAAGTCAATTCTATTCTCAACCGCTTTGATAAAGACTTTCCCCTGTTCCCTTGTTTCTGGAGCTCAAGAAAAAAAAGGCATATTTAATTGAAATGTACATGTCATTAATGTCTCTGTTTTTGCTGGAATATTTACGACGCTTTGTTTGTTTGCCCGTTCGAGATGATTTTCTATTCTCGTAGAACAGAGGAAAAAAAGCGAGTTTTTGATGTTATTGCATTTGTATGCAAATGTAAACACAGGCAGACGCAGCACACATCGAACCCGAGCCGTTCCATCCGGTTTCTGTTGCGTACTGTTTGCCTACTGTTATTCTCAGAGCAGGGTGGGGGGGGGACAACATAAGCAATGGCCTGTGTTCTATGTTTTAGGAGGAGCTATAGGGGGTCACACATAGGCATACTTTACAGGACATACGGTAGAGATTGGGATCACATCCCACTAGGTGCTTGGGGATTGCTGGATTGAAAACACTGACCCCCACATCAGCAACAGCTGCTAAGTGTACCTGCTTGCCCCCCCCCCCCCCCAACACACACACACCCCCATCACAAGGAGTAAGGCATTTGGAGTTCTTGATCCTCTAGCCAAATGGGGATGCTCTTCCTTGCCCTGGCTTATCCCACCTCCACAGTGTTCCTCAAACTCCCTCCCCCCCCCCCCCCCCCAAAAAAAAGTTCTGCCTCTGGCTATGGGGAAAAGGAATACGGGGGGGCGGGGTGGCTGAGAAGGTGGTCTCAAATCGGGGAGTACATCCCCACACCTAGAAATGCTTTGAAACAAGTAAACAGTCCTGTACTTTAAAGCTTTTACACGCCAATCCAGAAGTGCATGCTCTTTATGTCCAGCTACTGTAGGGATAAGCTTCATAATTCATGAACGCTCACTTAATCTATCGATCCATGCTTTTTGAGAGTAAGCGGGGGCCAATCTACTCTGTACGGGCAGGGCCAGGTAAACAGGGGACACGGAGGGAAGGGATGGAGAGGCAGATGGAGAGGTGGAGGGAACGAGGGAGCGTGGGAGGAACAGACCTCCCTGGAAAGTGGAGAATAAGTGGAGAAACACAGACCGCGGTTTCCAACATGCCCCGTCAAAACAAGGCAGTTAAACAGAGCGTTAGTGTAAGCTGCCGCCAAACTCGCTGCTGCTTTAGCCATGCGCCCTACAAACCAGGCGCTGTGTCAGGAAGGCCCGGATTCTTCAGGTTAATACCTCAACCGACTCATCAATTTCAACATCTCACTATTTCAACTAGTCCCCGTTTCAGCAAGCTACCGTTTCAGTAAGTTTATGCTCCGAGTGGTGCTGAAAATCCCATTCTGATGCCTGTGGACACACCCCTCCGACTCCTTATCCATATTTCGGGGAGATCCACTGGTCAGGTGACCATCGGTGGAGCTTGGAGACAGGTAGCAAAACACTGGGCTCACAGTAGGTTTTAAAACATTCTGTCTTGCAGGATCCAAGATGAAAACTCTTGCTTGACTTCTGCTGCTATAAAAACTATGAGAGGTTTGAAATTTCCACCGGGAGAGGTGAAATTCAGGCAGAAAAGCGTCATCTTCCCAAGCAAAACCAGACTTAACGTCTTGATCGGCTCTGGAATGCAGCTTCATGTATATTTGAGTGCTCATACAGGCCTGGCCTATCAGTTAATGAAGTTTTTCTGTTCCCTGCTGCTCTGCTCGCTACCCCAGCACAGGTCAGTGGGCTTTCAGGCCTCACCCCCCCCCCCCCCCCACACAACACCATCTCCTATCCTGCTTCAAACACACCCCTCCATCCCCATGTGTCTGAGATCATGGAAAGAGACAACTATTCTTGTGGATTCTGCTTAAAAAACTATTTGGTGATGGCATTCTCCACAGCGCCCCCTAGTGCCCATCTCACCCTACGGGACAGGACCCATAGAAACGGCTACAGTGTCCCGACACCTGCAGGTGCAATTGGGTCAAGCACGGGGATGCCCCCCACCTACAAAGAGGTGGGGGGAGCAGGACAAGCTTCCCCTCCAGCTCCGTATCTTTAATTTGCGCTGGCAGTCAATAAAATATTTACCAGGAACCCTAAAGGCAATTACATTAAAGTGAGTAGTTAGACACCCCGAATGCTCAGTGTCCCGCCGCGCGGAGCGGGCGATTCGGGGAGCGGCCACAATCTGCAACATTAGATTTTACACCACATCAATAATTGATCGATCATGAGGAAAAAAAAAAAATTGTGTGAGAATTAAAAGGAAGTAAAGACAAGATGGAGGGAGGAGGAAGGTGTTTGTCTGACTGCAGCCGGGCCGAGTCCATTTGCTCAACGTAGCAGAAATGTGATTTCCACTGTGAATAGTACCTTCACTTAGCCTTCGAGAGCCTTGCCAAAGTGGACCGTTCCACCGGTGAATGGGGTGGCCACCGGACAAGGTGGGATGGGAGGGGGGGGTTTACGTGATGTCTGATCTCGCCTCGGAAAGCCTGGCCATCAAACGCGACGTGCACCGCATAAGGCAGGCCATGGAAAATTCAGGAGAGCCGCAGGGGACCTAGGAGACGGGAAAAAAAATGAAGAAGACAGTGAACCGGCGGACGCCTGAACGCCAAACCCCTGGGTCCAGCGTGGGAAGGTCTCAAGCGTGGTTTGGCAAATTGGCTGGGCCTTCCAGAGGGACGGGGGCCGGAGAATGAAAGGAGAACCTTTCGCAGGCTGAAGGGGGCTGGAACAAAGTTTGAGCACCAATGGGAATTGTAGGTAGAACACAACAACCACCGTAAAGGCCCACAGTAACCATAACATCTCAGAGAGTTCCCAAGTTTTCTGGCACAGTTCGTTTTCGTGGAAGATTCCTCCTCGTATCGGCACGGTTGCCGACCTTTCAGCATTCGTTTCACTACAACTATACTACCGGTTCATTAATACAATGAGTCCTCAATCTCAGCGTTAATATTAATTAGTAGAAGCACCCGATTAATGGCAATTGGGCTTGTTTTGTAGACAATCGGGGAAACAAGGATTTTTTAGAGCAGGAGAGCCCAGTGGTTTTTAGAGGGACAGGCAAAGAGAAACAGCAAGTTCTGAACCACTTCCTGTTCTCCATCCACTCCAATGCAGAATCAGCATCAACATCTTCTTCGCCCAAGGTGGTCTCAGAATGACTGACTGCAGTGATTCCTTGTTGGGTCTCACCACTCTTTTGCTTCCCCTGATACGCTCCTTAGCCACTCACCATCCGTCCACCTTCGCAAATCTCGCACCTGTCGCCACCATCTCGCCATCAACCTGCCAAATGCCATTCCTGACGTGGGCAGCAGGGGGCGATGTATAATTAATGAAGGGGGTTCTGTGCATCTGATGTGGAGTGTAGAGAGGGATGGGGGTGGGGGTTGTCCTCAGATTTCCCAAGACGGCATCCCTGAGACCAGTTCCCCATTGTTGCCCCACCGTTGTAAAAGTCTCCGGTTTCGGGTCCAATTAGAGCGATGACAGTGTTGGCTCAACATGACCCAGGGCAGCACGGACTTGTGGGTGTTCCAAGCCCCGCCCTGCCCATCACCCAGTTACGGGGTCTTACACAGTAGGGCACCAGGGGGTGACACCCTCCATAGAGTCACTCTGAACACGCCAGTCCGCACTGGTGTCATCTACAATTAATGTGCTTAATATTTAATTACACGCTATCTGTTAGCCTAATGCTTAGGGAGGTGTGCTTGTAGTCAGAAGATTGTTGGTTTGAATCCCTGAACAGCAAGGTACCCTGAGCAAGATACTGCCCCCTACTATCTCACATATGAGTTAAATGCACATTTTGTTGTTGCGTGTCAACAATGACAACTACTCGCTTCACTTTGAACTTATAAGCAAACGAGTACATAATTACCTCACGAGGAAGACATGCGGAGGTGCATCGAAATAAAGAATGAATAATTAATTAATTAACTATTATTAGATGGTGAATGAGCTAAGCTCAAAGCTCTACTGTTACGACATGTATCTGCTCATACTTCTGGAACAGTTTTCCACGAACCACAAATATTCCGTTTGGAATCCACTTTTATGCCACCTGTTTAAGATATTTTAACAGCATACGTTACTCCTTAGTGTTCGCATTTTGTTAATAGTTTTATGCTTTCTGTTCTTGTTAAGGACCCTTTGTGAAGAGAATGAAGACATGGAAGGCATCTTGATGAGTATAGTTTTATAGCATGAACATGAAGGAAATAGACCGTAACAGTTCAAATGGTAAATAATAATACGTATTCTGAGTTTACCATAAAGTCTTCCGCTAGTTTTCTTTAAAAGCACCTCTCTTTCTCTCACACACACGCACGCACGCGCGCGCACACACACACACACACACACACACACACACACACACACGCACACACTAAGATACACAGGAAAGCAAAACATCACAGGCTACCGACCTGAAACAGCATGCTGGGCGTGGCGTGACACAGGAGTTCAGCCAATCAAATCCAGGACGATGTGGGCGTGTCACCCTGTTAGGGGGGCGGGGCGACGCTCCCCATCTTGCCCCACCAGCAGTAACCAAAAAGTAAGAGGTCTGCATCCCGGAGGCGTGATCGCAAGTGTAATTTCCAATGACATTCAAAGGGGTGTTAAAGGGTGCGGATTTACGCCACCGGCGGGGCGGGGCCAGCGGACACACGTTATTTTATAGCTCCCGGAGAAGATTTGCCCCGTACTAGACAACGACACACGCGCACACCCGACAGCAGTCAATAAATACTCAACTGACTGACTTGCTGGACGGGAGTTTTGCCAGGCTTTTTTTCATCCGTTTCTGAAGAAGATTCCTTCACTGGAGGGATAACAGAAATAGCGAAGGAGGACGGACAGCGAGGTATTTGCAATCATGATGTCCATGAACAGCAAGCAGCCTTTCAGCATGCATCCGATTCTCCACGAGCCTAAGTACACACCTCTACACTCCAGTTCAGAGGCTATTCGGAGGGCTTGTCTGCCCACGCCTTCGGTAAGTCCAACACCGTCTTATTCAAGTCCCTGGAAAGTGCGCGTGGTGACAGGATTGGATAAAGGAGCCGAATTAATCTGACATCCTTAATGAAGCGGTCCGCTGCGACTCAGATAAAACGTTTTAGGCGATGTCGATGTAATGTAAAGCGAGAAGTTGTTGCACCGAAATGTGCTATTTTAAATTATATCCATCAACTTGTTTGATCCCAAAATAGGCAAATTTAAAAGTTAACTCTCTTACGATATAGCCTCGTATCCCTGTGCATGACATTTAGCTTACCAGCTGACAGATTCATATTTTGCGCTGGGCCGTCTCAGTTTGTAAACTAAACGTGAATTAATTTGCCGTCCGCGGTCGCCGCTCAGTGTGACACCGTTTGCGGCGCCTTTTAAAGCCGTCCGACCTTGTCTCCTGTCACAGCTGCAGGGAAACATTTTCGCCGGTTTCGATGAAAGTCTTCTGCAGAGAGCGGAGGCGCTGGCGGCGGTGGACATCGTCACTCCAAAGGGCCACCCTTTCAAACCAGACGCCACTTACCATACTATGACCAGCATGACCGGCATGACCTGCACCCCCACCTCCTCATCGGCTCACCTTCACCACCCGTCCGTGCTCAGCTCCCACCACCATCACCAGCCTTCACAGGGCCTGGAGGGCGATCTGCTGGACCACCTGACGCCGGGCATATCTCTGGGGGGCATGCCCGGCTCCGACGTTTGCTCCACCGCCTCGCACCCGCACGCCCACATGTCCGCCATCAACCACATGCAGCATCACCACCCACAGACCATGAACATGCACCCGCACGGCCTGGGCCCGCACAACTCCCTGGGCGGCGGCGACTCCGAACCCGACCCCCGAGAGCTGGAGTCCTTCGCCGAGCGCTTCAAGCAGAGGCGCATCAAACTTGGGGTCACGCAGGCTGACGTGGGATCGGCGCTGGCCAATCTCAAAATCCCTGGAGTCGGTTGCCTCAGCCAAAGCACTATATGTCGGTTCGAGTCCCTGACGCTGTCGCACAACAACATGGTGGCGCTGAAACCCATACTCGAAGCTTGGCTGGAAGAGGCCGAGAGGGCTCAGCGGGAGAAAATGTCCAAGCCGGAGATTTTTAACGGTGGTGATAAAAAGCGAAAACGCACCTCTATCGCCGCCCCGGAGAAACGGTCCCTGGAAGCATACTTTGCCGTGCAACCGAGACCATCATCGGAGAAGATCGCCGCAATAGCCGAGAAACTGGACCTGAAAAAAAACGTCGTGCGGGTGTGGTTTTGCAATCAAAGGCAAAAGCAGAAAAGAATGAAGTTTTCCGCTACGCATTAGGGCCAAATCAAAGACTGTATCCAATATATACACTTTAAAAGACAACACAACAGCAAAACTAAGACGGATAACCCAGGCTTGCGAGATGCGTTTCATTCATAATAAAATGGGATCAACACTTGAAACCGCAACCACAGTTCATGAGCTTGATACTGTTGTTATGAAACAAAATATGTGTTATAACAAAGATAAGTTAAGGAGACGACCATCGTGCTTTCTGAAGAGTCAGAGAAGGAAAACAGCTCGACCGTGTTACTCAAAAGCAGTTATTGTACAAAATGCCGAAAAAAAGAATAATTGTTATTCTGTCATGTCAAAAAAAAACTTTTTTATATTTACTCATGTAAATACTTGTGAATACAATGCACCTACGTGTGTGAAGAACGCAACGGTTTAGTTTCTTTTTTAAAACGGTTGTTGTTTTCAGCATAAAATTGGGGCTTATTATGTTAACATTATGTGTTTTCAGGAGATGCACCGCGCCATAACGCCGTTGCATGGTCTACCCCGTAGGGCGTAGAGCTTGATGTAATAGTTTTAAAACCCGTTCGAATGCCTTGCAATACGAACGAAAAAACACACACGCGACCGCACGTTAAATACACGAACATACACAGTCTGTTTCGCTGTGTCTACCTCATTACCGTAGTTTCGCCACATCCATGGTCTTGGAATTAGGAAATCAAGTAGTTTATTCATTTTTTTAAATTTCATTTTATACGATCCTGTAACTCAGACATGTAACAGTGTTGTCTCAGCAAATTTCACTGCAAGGACGCATTGACAATCAAATTACTGAAACTGCTATGTTGTACGAATTCCCTTACGCCCACACAAAAATCTATCGAAATACATAATTTCCCCCACAAATAATAATACTTATTATTATAATTTGAAGAGGGAGGTGTGGTAGACGACATTTCCAACACTGACCTTGCTATATTGAATTTCCCATATTAAAAATTCAGTGCACTTTGTAGATAATCTAAAGTGAGCAACTGTTGTTTATTTATCGTTATTTTTAAGCTTATTTATTTGAACTTAATTTATTCGGAAGACAACTTGTCTGATTAATTTGTGAAGGTGTGCTTAAAATGTGTCTGTGTACGCGACAGAATCTTAAATAAACCATGCACGTTTTACCTCATCTGCTCTATCTTTTATGGCCACTAAGAATCGTGACTGGTACACTAATATTATTTTTAATTTTAGTTGCATATGTCATTTTGCAGCTGAAAAATTAGCCTTACACATTTTTTTCAGGATGTTTTCTGGGTCTCAGCCAGCTATTACGACTGTCAGATTTATTTAAAAAATAATATATGTAGATCTTTTGCGTTTTCGTTTAATATGATATTAATGCCTTAATTTCCCTTTCGACTGATACTTAAAAGTTCTCGAAACTAAGAACAGAATATGATTTTAAAAGTACAATAACAATAAAAGGGCCTACATAACATAGTGTGCTTATTATTATTTTTCACTTATTACGATTAGCTAATTTAAAAACTCAACACGCTAAAAGCATTTTAAAATACATCAAATATTCTGTCAGGCGTTTCAAGTCGGTTTTGGTCGGATGCACTTGATCTTTCCGTGCACGTGACCAGGAAACGCGGCCGACTTTATCTGATGCTACCTGACTACTTCAGGATAAATAGGTATTGACTAAGTTATCTTTCATTACGTACAGAGACGTTAATTTAAACCTTCATAAATAAGTTGACTGTCTCCACGATGGGGTTCGTTACATTACAGGCTCAAGGATATAGTAACTACAAGCTCCCCAAATAGACGATTAAATGTAATTCAATCCATCACCTAATAAATGTAATCAAAGTTAAGCTTTATATATTTTTTAAAAATATTTGTATCAGATATATTGAGGCAATCACCACTTATTTGTGTTTAGAGAAGCTGACTGCGACAGAAGTGCAAATGTCGCGTAGCGCGACATATCCTATTCCAGTTTCGACTATAAATATAGACCTATTAGTTTTTCGTTTAACAAGCAATATGTTTCCGATTAGGATAAAATAACGCATTTTGGGGTTTTCGATTTCCTCGGTGCGACATCGTGTGCGGAAACACCTCTTACATGTCGGTTCCTGGCGAAAACTGCGCTTAATTAGCATTTTGCAAAAATGCAGTGTAATGGATAAAACGTCAACGGTGGGCATCGTTATAAAAGTTGCTCCCAGCGCAGGTGACATCTGTTCACATATCGGCCTATTTGCTACATCCTTGCCAGTGTCACTCGGCATAGAAATGCAGGGTCGCGATGGGGCTGGTGTAAACATCGGCGCCCAAACGCACCTGAATACAGTCTAGTGGGTCGAGCGGCTGTCAGTGTCTCTTAGCGGCACCCAGTATGCAGCAGGTGGCTTTGGGCTGTAAAACTCGTTATTAATGAATAATGAATCTGGGCTGTTATGATACTATTGATTTTTGTATGTGTTTGTTAAGAAAGGGATATCCTTTCGCTCAGTGCATCGCCCGTGTTGTACAACATCAACTCCTGTCATCGTTCCTCGGAGATTAGTAACTCAGTTCAGCCATTTAGAGGAAAAACTGAAAACGCCACTTACTTAGTGAACGGAAAAAACTTCCATTAAAGCTTTATTACTGGTCCTGTATATTATATTTGCACAAAATTACAAAATAATTTTTTTTAATTAAATAACATTAGATTAAATTAAATTGCCGCCTTTAACACGGATAAATTGAATATTTTTTATTTCGATCGCATGAAATTAAAAATGATTAACTGACGTCTCATTACAAATTCTCTTAATTTCCCAAAAATGGTTCTAAGCTTAGGTTTTTATTTTTTAATGATGCTGGGCATATGTCTATTTTTTCACTTTGGACTGTTCTTTGCAACTGTAATTGTTTGCATCCACCGGATTCTTTACAATTAAAGAATAGCTTTGTTTTTAGACATTTAAAATAATGTCAACTGCGCATATGCATTGTGACAATTTCCTGTTATATTTTAAACCTCAATCTTGTGTTTATATTCCATATAGATGTTAGTCCATCCAAAATAATCGATGCGTGAATTAATCAGAATCCAGCAGTAGTTTTATTGAATAGTTTGGTCATAACATTGCGCTCACTTTCCGTAAAACTTATTCAAACAGTTCCAGTTATCAAGGTCAAATAAATATGTTAACACACAATCATGCGCAAAAACATTACATATACAATACGAAAACTCGAGATTCCTTCCTAAAACAAAATTAAAGCGGTCTCACGAAACTAAGATTTGACGCACGGAAAATGCACGCAGCAGCATCTGGACGGCCAGCCTTGCACGCCTGACGTCCTGCCATTTGAAACCTTAGCGTATGCATACGTCAAAATGTATCGGCCGAGAATTATTCTTAACAAAATCCACCGTGTAACTTATTCTCCGGCCGACCGGGGGATGGGAAGCAATCTATAAACACATATGTGTACATGCGAACATGTAGGCTAGCGATTTGCATAGCTCTTTCTAAAGCGTGTACATTATTCATTAACTCTGGACGGGGGGAGAAAAGACCATATATATGTCAAATAGAGGAAGGCGAGCTTTTATGTGGCGCCTGCCACTGCATATTGTTTCAACGTTTTTAAAAGTAAATGATAGAAATATATAGGCCTAAGTATAAATGATTACACGCTTAAATTTACATTCCTCCCGATGGTTCCTTTTCTGACTTGTGTCTTCCATGAAGCGGAAAGCGCATTTTCATAAATAGACCTTGGCCAAGCGCTGCCTATAAAAAATTAATGAACTTCGAGTCTTGAGTGCAGCCCTGGGGCCTTGGAGAATCGTTTCTCTGTTACATTACTATGGTTTTCCTCCTCTCTCGCAAACGCAAGCATAGCAGCGCGAACGCTCGGCTCGAGTTATGGCGGCAGGCTTGTAGAAAGTAGATTAACGGATGCGAGAGGTTCAGACTTTTTTTTTTCCAGATGTTTTTTTTTTCCTGGAGCATTTCCATCGATGATTGACCCCTCATGTTTCAAGAGTAAACAAGTGTCCGATATACTCATCAGTGTGTTTCACCTGCTAGTGATGAGACGTAGCCTTATTCCACACAGTAAATGTTTAAACCCACCACACCAAACATATAATGTCGCTACACTTAATATCCGTCATTTTTCAATAATCGATTTTTAATATATAACGTTAATTAAGTAGTACCTACCTTGGTTATATACCACATGTGCATTTTTTATATGGGAACTGCCACAGTTTTTCGACGACGTACAATGTTTTATAAACGCCATACATGAATGAAGGTGAGACTGAGCGGAGTTCAAATTGATGCTGACAAGGTGAACAAGGGAACATCATTGTAACGTTTGCTTCTTTTGGTTTTAATAACAGCGGGCAATAAAGAACAAACACGCATAATTTGATCTCTCCTGAGCACGCGAGTAGACACAGAAAGAAAACATGCATATTCGACGGTAATTAAAACCTGACGACGTAATTAAGAAGATTATTTAATCAGAAGTAATAAATGAGAGCAGCGCCTCAGAGGCTGATCAAACGCGGAGGTTATTAAACCTAAACAATTTGGCACCAGTCAGGGACTCCTTGTCGTTTCCACGATAATTTGTCACTCAAAAACGTGTAAGTTTAAAAAAAGCCGTATTACTTTTAATATACCCCTCCTTCTATTGAACCATGCATTTAGTCACATATATAAAATGTTAATGACCTTGTGGACTATTTTCGTCTGTTACAAACACAATGCAGGCATCGGTTCGTTATCGTCATATAATCACCTTTATTATACTTTTACAACTTTCTATTTTAATTACTGGACTAATTCAGTTAACCATTGAGACAAACCAGACACACTAAATTTATGAAAATGACCATTACAAAAACTTTAAAAGATATTTTGGATTTATGACTTCAATTTAACCACCGAATCAATTAAAAATGAACAGCAATAGTTTTTAAAGAGTGTATACTGTTTGTCGTAAACAGCAAAATATTTACCCGAGACTTCAACCAATAATAAAGTTTCTTTCGTTATATTAAATAAAGGTCACAACTCCGGGCCAACTGTCTGCACTGAAAAATGTATTATCCTTCACACTCTTAGCAAATAACAATCAATTTCCAAATATTGAAAAGTAAATGTAATTAATGATTGGGTTAAATGTTGAAAATGGACTTTAGAAAATGCCATAAAGGCATACTGGTTAAGCAAATGCGATAGATTGTCTGAATGTCGTCACCTTGTAAACTTTTTCAGATTTTATGCTCAAAGAACGCGCCGCATGTGAAGTGACCCGCGCTGCAGGCTTTCACGTATGGTTGGTCTAAAATCCAGCACGCTTGCATTACTAGTTGCTGAAGAGTTAACGGCGTGGGAAGCATTACTATTTAATGACGCTTGAGTCTTCTTAGGAGCTCAATGTTTCCACACAGAGATCTTAGTTATTCCGGTGACACGCCGCGAACCGCAGTTAGGGGCTGAATACAGGGGCAGAGAAGAGCGCGAGACAAAATTAAGACGTTTTCAGCGTACAGACAAGTCAAAATACCATTTACGCACTCCTTACCTAACATGCAAATTATTAGTTATTTCACGGGCCACAAAATTCGAACGTCAATAAAACAGTTATATAGTGCTCGCTAAACAGCACAACGCCAAGAATAAAATTTTATGCAACTTTTATAATATGTAAAAATGAATATGAAGATTTAAATCGTTGTTATTGATATCGCAGAACTCCGAAGGCTGAGAGTTTTCAGCACCAGGGACAGCTCTGAAAATTTATGCTGCATGAGAAGTGACTCAAACGCGGCTTTCTGCTAGACGAAGTACACTTTTCTAACCACATATTCATAACCTTGTCAAACCAAAAACCCAAGCGTCACTTTGCATTGATAAAAAACATTATAAAATGTAAATGCGAAAACCAAGACGTCATTTGGAAAAGCCAAATACAATAAATTCCTGTATTCAATACATTTCATTGTTAATGGTCAGTCCAAGAAGACTTGTATAAAAAGCACAGTAATGCAGCAATACACTCAAAATTGCTATGCGTTCCGAAAGTGGTTTTAAATCAAAATACAAAAGTACGTTGAAATATAGGCTTTGGGTTTGTGGTATGCAATTTAAGATAAACAGTAGCTTTAAAAACGTACATGATTCACAGCTAAGAGTCGGTGTATCATCACACCGTACGGCGTATATTATGCCGATTTCCGGATGTTTATAAATATTTTTTTCCCCCAAATCTTTATTACAAGTATACGATTGATTACTGTGACCCATATAAGTACAGCACTGAGTAATATATTTTTAAATGCGATTTACATTGAGACACATTAGCTATGCCCAATAGGGAATGTGTCAAATACTTATACAGCAACTGGCGCGAAGCCCTGGTCATTTTATTGGATAGGGGAAAGTTGTACAAATCACAGAAATGATAGACAAAATGACTTTTGTACTGTATTATAGCCTACCTAATTCAGAATGTTCATAGACAATAATGGGCCACGTTAAGGGTGATAAAATAAAATGTCCTCACGTAGCGGCATCTTTCACAGCTGCGGGTTTTAAATGATTCCTATAAAAAAACGTAAACACGGGCCTAAATAATTGACAGCTGATACGTCTTCTGAAAAAAAAAAACATCAAACGGGGGAAATTGACTTCACAGTCCTAAACCTTGTTTTTAAAATCCAGACTCCTGAGCAATTTCTTCGCATGTTTGCTTGGTGATGGAGTGGCTGGTTTTACCGCCTTTTTTTATCTCTTTATCAATGGTTTTAATTAAATTGTTTCCAAAGCGTCATAATCTGTCGAAATGATTCGTTTTGACTACCATGTGGATATACAGGCTTACGTTTGTTTGTGCTTTATACTTCATTATGATTTGTTGAATTTAAACCGAATATATGTTTTAATTAGCCTATCTCCCAAACTTAATAATAGAATGTAAGCATTTTCATGTAGGCCTATCCAAAATATAATGTTTTTGAATACACATATGGGCTACATTCAAAGATACAGTAACATACCCGATGTATGTTTAATTCAAGAAAGCGTGTTCAAAGAAATATGTATAACCTTCTAATCATGTTCCATAAATAATATATTTACAACTGGCAAGATAGCCTTCCTCCGACCGGAGCAACATAAATCCGTCGTTTACAGTCGGACATTAGCTAAGCGTATTCGTTTAAGAAAAGTACAATTTTAATTAAACTTTTTTTTTTTGACAACAGCTATTTCTAGTATTCTATTTCGAATAGAGATCTGATGTGGAAAGGCAAGAAAAAAGCACGAGAAAAGTGAGGGAAATACAACTTCCGTTTACCACGTTTGTGGAAATAAAAGAAGCCCTTAGCTCCGTTTAGGTGTTTATCGGTTAAAATGTGATTGTTATTGCTCGGTTTACCAGTAGGCTACAGACTGATTCATCCACACGTCAAGACCTTTTTAAAAAAGACAGAAAAACAGGAAAGTAAACAGTTCAAACTGATGACGCACTTCAGTGAGATTATTTATCAGACCAACGCAGGCCGATAGTTTCGGAAGGGGAATTCGCTCTCACTTGGCTGTGATATATATTTTGCTCTTTATTCCTGAATTGCTTTTCCGCAAAGCGGCTTCCGTCCGTCTGCTTTCGGGTAAAATCCGATGGACCGCACTGCTACTTTCCTGTCTTAGTGATGAATAATGCAAGGCTAGGAGACTAGCAAGTTTGCAGTTAAATACCAATTTGCTTAACCAATGTTTGCCCTTCTCCGCCAGCTTCGCTCAGTACAGCCGAGAGCTCCACACGACCAGCGGGTGTAATTAAAGGAGTTGCTCGGGGGTGGGGTGGGTCACTGGACTGGATACGTACAGTAACAGTTAGCTCGGATGAAACAACTTAGTACTCAGTATTTCCTAATTGAAGTGGGCATCCGGCAATAGTACGTTCATGCAACCTTTAGCTTGAGAAAGCCCAAAAATATTCCGGTGGTTCCTCTGCGAGGAGAGCTGGCAAACTTCGGGAAAACTTGCCCCAGATTGGACCCCGCAGTACTGACGTGAATTTCAGTACACCATCAAGGGCCTATATAGCCTATACATTATGAAAACATTAGATAACCATTTTAAACTGCTCCTGTTCCTCCTTGCGCTCACTTTAATTATTATGATTGAGAACGCCTGGATAGACCCCAGAATTCATTAAGATTATTCTAGATTATTCGTATTCTGATAAGGACGGACCAGATGCTAAATTAAATTACTATTATGCGTATTTATATTAACTACATACGTAGCACGCCGAATATAAGTAAAAAAAAAAAAAAAACTAGGAACACGCGCGGGGAAATTTATTGTAGCGGGCGGTCAAGCCGATTGTGGAGTAAATATGAAAACTACTAATCAGTAGTCAGAAGTACTGGTGCAGTGTGGGATTAAGAACTCAATGCCAGCCACAGGTAAGCACCGCATTCAGCCAAGCCCCTCTCTGAGTGCGCCAGGTTCAGCCGCGTGCAGAAGTACCACAGAAAGGTAAACAGAAGCTTGTGGTCCCTAACCAATTGTTATTCATAGAAGTGATGAATATTTAATACCTTCTAAGGATACCTTTTGTTAACAGAATTACCAACAAGCGCTCCACGATGAATTCAAATTTAATTCGCATCATTGTACAAAGCGTGCCGGTGATTGGTGGTGATCCGTTTTCGCTCCACTTGTACGAGGTCACCCACCTGATTCCTCGAGGCGGACGGGGGCATTCACACGTCTGGGTCATTTTCGGGTTGGGGGAGTAAAACTATCGCGAAACGCACAATGCATTCGCAGTTTTCGTCGCATTTTACTCGTTTCATAAATAATTAATTGCGTGGAATTAAGAAATTTCAAGTTTGAAATTTGACCAGGAGAGCACCATCACTTACACTTCGACTGATCGTTTTCTTTTTCGAGTTACATATATTGGAAGTTATTTTATTTTTTTGCGTGTTTACGAATATACTGATAAGCATCCGTATATGGCAAAATATATATATTAGGTATAATCAGACGCCGATTATAGTGAGACATAATCTGACGTCTCATGATACCTGGTTAGTTATGGTAAAGCGGACAAAACCAAAAAAATACTACATAAAGAACGGATCCTGCTTCCCGAGCCAGTGCCAATATTACCATTCCGGCCGCTGTTCATTTCAATAAGTTTATTTGCTTGGACAGCCATCGGAGACCTTCTCAAAGACCTGTTGAATCCGCCGCGAGTGTGAGAGTGTGTTGGTTTAGCATGAATGTTTAATCATCTTTGGCGCGCTACCCTCCAGCCCTCGAAGGCGCGTTAATAAAATTCACCCTTTTCAAAAGACGCGGATTAGGGATGCACAATTCCCGCGCGTGTAACGGAGAAAGCGGAGAAGTGCGGAGGTGCTGCAGGGACGTGCTCCGTGGGGTTTCCATCATAACTTAACGAATTTCGTTATAGATCGGATCAGCAGTAAAAAAAAAAAAAAAAAAAAGCCGTGCAACGAATAGAAATGCTGCGAAAACCCCCAGAAAGCCGATTTCATCAATTCTTTCTGGCATCTGTGGTGCTTAATTCCAGTTAAAATCTTAATATTGCCGGCGCTGCCGGACACGTTGAGGACGGTCAGTGAGATTTGGCAAAAGGCAGCATTTTGAAACATGCTGGGCTTGGCCACGTCTTTTGAAGTCGGATGTTATACCTCCCCAGCTGAAATTGCCCAGGGGTACCTAAAGCAATTTCCATGACAGCGAATATGACTTGACGAATGTTCTTATTACATTGTTAAATCACCATCATTAATGCGTTTAAAGTCGCCAACGAAGTCAGTGCACTTGCACTTTTTTCTTATATAGGCCTATATAATGCCCAGGGGAAGCGCTCTCGTGACTAAATCCTTAGTGCTAAGTTTCTAACACCTCATGAATAAAATTCGAAGCAAAAGAGAAAAAAGGGATCTTACGATCCAAAATGCATATAAAATAGCCCAATTAGGCTAGTAGGTTGCACTATATTATTATTATATATATTATTAGCAAGGTTGAAATGGTCAGACGGATTTTTTTCTTCACTGAATTCATCACCCCAAAAGCTTTAATTGGACTGGTCACTTTTTATGTGAAAATATGTGCCTATCATGGGTGTGAAGCGTTAAATTTTTCATCACACGATCTCTAACTGCTGTGTTCATTTGCCTCCCTCACAGACACCAGCATCTGGCTAGTGGGCAGAATACTTGTTCCTGGAATGAATTGCCCCAATTAAGCCGGAGAGAGTTGGTCACAGCATCTGAACATAACTACCGGAGGACGCAGGTTTCCATTAAGCGCGCGGATTATGCATATTATGGTGGATTTAATATTAATAGCTTTTATTGCCCTTATACTAGCATATTCATGACTGCCATCTAATGGAGTCATAGATGGACCTGACATATCGAGTCGCATTACGCTGATAAGCTAGACAGATCTAAGGGCCCTCTGATATTTCCAGTGAACAAAGACAAAACTTGGAAACAGACATTTGTGGCACTTGGCGGCCTGCAGCGTCTCAGGAACACGGCGCGTCCAAACAAATTAAAAGTAACACTGTCGGTCACTCACCGGCTGCTACCAGATCGGTGTTTTATAAGTTGTTTTATACAATTAAATATCGAGAAGAAATCTGTTATAGTTCATATATTGTATTGTGTGTTACATGAAAATGCATATTAAATATAAAGTGCTTTATAAATATACTACTAATTATACTTGGTGTGTAAAAGTAGAAGTTAGAGTAATTTCATAATAATCACATTCCCCAACAATAAAAATGTTGAAGATCTCATCGACCGAAAGGCGTCACAGGAGTGTTGCGCTTACCGTTTCATTTCAGCCAATCCCGGCCAGTCACTGCAGTGCTTTGCCTAAAGTAACGAATCGCAAACATTAAAATGATTGTGGAGTGACACTAAGACGCGATAGTTTAGCATTTCCGACTATGGTGTAGATCCAGAATTATACACAATGCTATTTCCACAGTGCCCCTCTAAAATGCTCTTTAAACCATTTGCAGGGATTGAGAAAATTTACAATGTCAAAATGTATTTGCGCACGTATTTATAAAATATCGTGAAACGGATTCACAGACCATCATCCGGCATACAATATTTTTACCTAGCAGGAAAACTGTGTTGATAATGTCAGAACAAAATGCTTAGATAGTAGTGCCAACCTAATAAATTGTTAATCATTGTATCTATCATATTAACTTAGTCTTTCCATGCATCGTTTGTAACTATTTCCTCCGTTTTTTGTGAGGTCTCACCTACCCGATTTCTTCTTTTTTTTATTGGGTAATAAAATATGTGAGAAAGTAAAGAGGGGGTGGCTACGATATGTAGGACGGTTGGTGGGCTGTTCTCTTTAGGCAGGAGTTGAGGAACATACCGGATCTCTGCCAAGCGTCCCCATCCTTGGCTCTACCAGCAGAAAGTTAGTTTAAAGAGTGTAACGTGTGCACAACAGGAGCCTGCTTGGCCACATGACTGCCATCCCCATTCTGCGTATAATTT